ATTCGAACTGGAGGGGGTTTAGACGGACCCAATCCAATCGGTGACATTTGACGACCAAAACACCAATCACCTTGTCGGGGTATCTAATGGAGTGCGATTGTTTGGATTCACTTGAAGTTGAAGAGGTTTAGTGGTGTTGTGAGATACTATTCACCTGTGAGTAGTAGATAACTTTCAATGTTGAAAATATAATAAAACTACTGAGGGCCAAGTGATATGCTTGGAAGAATAACTGCTGACTGCTCTGTATATTACCCTGTGTGTCGGAAAGTATTACGATGGCACGTTTNCTTGTCGGGGTATCTAATGGAGTGCGATTGTTTGGATTCACTTGAAGTTGGAAAGGTATAGTTTCATTTGATGGGATGGTCTGTTTGTGGCCCTTCTGTCCGCATGTTGCGTTTACGTATGCTGCATTATTACGCTACTTGTGAAGGGTTCTACAATTAGTGACTAACTTCATTTCGAGCAGCGCAATTGATTGATCCACAGGTAAATAACCCCACCAAGGTAAGAAGCAAGTCCGATCGACACGCATACACAGGAAGAACGGCCCTTCGAATGATCAAAAAATAAAAGTACAAAGCCACATGTATCCCAACTTATGGGTTATTCCATTATCTTTCTGACAGGAGCAACTTTTTCCCCAGTTTCACAAATAACATTTTGATGGAGCCTTGAAACCAACTCTGCAGGGAATCACCTTTGATAAAAATTTGACAGATTTGACAAGATAACTGCTAGCACTGGTCACGTGAACGGCTTACTGGACCGTGAACTGTGGATGCATCATACAAGACTGAAAACATCCGCACTCACGGGAATATCTTAAAAACAACCATGAAGTTGTTTCCACGGTTCACCGTTAGTGACTAGCTACGTAATACACCGGAAAGAGATAGCGGAAAAACACGGCAAACTGAACGTATCCCACACAATTGTGATCATGAAATGGAATGCTAATGAACTAGTCACCGTTTACTTTTCAAGTGTCAGAACAATTAGGAATTCAGAAAATGGAGCCGTCCAATGAGAGTATGGTGCCGCAGATAAAAATCGAGTATACGAGAACCTTCAATGGAGAGAGGAACTGCAAGTCCAGAGCACGTAGCTGCTCTAAGCAATTGTGTTAAATTTGTAGTCTTCGCGTATTATTTGCGAAAAGCCAAAACTGAAAGGGTTACGAAAGATCATCATTGAAAATGAGACCAAGGCTGTGTTGACACAAGCAACTTCGTTATTATCAGGGAATGCGGACAACGAATTGCGGCTTTTGGAGGGGGATGGTTGGTATGACGTCGGCTAACATCGATCATGGGTAACCAACGTGCGATGTTACCTGACGCGATCACTGCAGGAATCGCGAAAATATCGCCTTTGGGTAACAAGACACGCATTGGTAACCACTTTTTTAAGAGGTTCCGGCGAATCGATTTGATTTTTGGCCGACTGTAATCTGATCTTTTCCCGTTGTTGAAATAATGTTTGCGAGAACTGTGTCCAGGTCCGTTAGAGGTGTGTTTAGATGTGATACGCATCAGTTGGTGAAAAGCCGCTGGCAGTCGGAGCCCAAGCGGTTGTTTTCATTTAGCGCACGGACAGTCGGAACAAACCAGTCACCTTGTCCAGCAGCAGCCATGTTCACTTTTCCCTACGGTGCATTGCCATCGCTTAAAGTTCGGTCTCACCTACAAATGTACACGTGTATTGCTGTTTTATTTCTATACGGTGCGTCCGCATAAGTACGCACCATTTAGGGCACACTTCAACAGAAGCGGTCGTGTAATGATATTCCAA